ATCTCCTCTCAGGATTTTGGGTGCACGCACACACACACACACACACACACACACACTAGCCTGGTGTGTTTCAAACTACTGGGTCCAGGACTCAAATTGCAGTCACCTATGTGGGAGTACAGCGCTTTAGACACCATGCCACTTGCTTACCTCTGTATTGTTCCTTTATGTTAGCACTTCAAAACTTATTTTTCAATGTATTTTTAAAAGGTTTCATATTACAAAGTGTTGCTTTTAAATATTCTATGTCCAGGCTGAGAGTTTCACTCTGTTAAAAGTCTTTAATTTGTTCCTGCGTCTTCCCAACATTCATGACACATGAGGATGTCATGATGCTGAGATGAAGAATAACTGGTCCAGTTGGACCTGCTCTCGCTGACATAGCCATGCTTTGGGGAAATGCAGGTACACAAATTAATTAGCTAAAATTGCTTACAGAGATTCCCTCCACAGTTGGGCACAGTTCTCCTTTATATGGGACTTTGATTTGCATTATTTGTGTGCTCAAAAGTTACCTTTTCACTATTTCCTAATAACTTTCTATCAAATTTTCACACGCAACAGTGTATATTCAGTTATAAACTACAGAAGACAGTTTAATTCTCAAAGTAATATTTTAACATTTGTGCTTATTGTAAATAGATTTTTGTTCTGGGGATACATTCAGAAGACGTTTGTCCTTTCCTCAATAGCAATACTTTTACTTTTAGAGTGTTTCTTTTTTTTTTTTTAATAATTATTTATTTTATTTTTTATTCATTCATTGATTGATTTTTTTAATTTGACCAGAGAGATACAGAGGGTGAGAGTGAGAGAGAGAGGAAGCGAGAAAACAAGCCACCAGATTCAGGACTCGAACCCTGTCCAGCGCCTTACCCACCACACCACCTGCTGGTCCCTAGCGTGTTTCTTTCAATCAGCTTATTTGTAGAATTGTTTAAACTAATGCTAATTGTACTGCGGCAATTGAAACAAATGTTTCCATTTTAGAAATGACCGCTGGAAAAAATAAAGATTTGGAATTCAAATGAATGGGGGAGATTGTTAAGACTGTGGTAAAATAGATCCTTATATTTATTATTTTTTCCAAGAAATGTCATCTAAAATATCCATTCTCAAATGTTTCCTGGGTGAATATAGTACATTCAGTATAAGTCCTTATGAATTATGATCGATAGCATAGATGTTCTAATTCTCTATTTTCAATAGACAAGTGTTTATTAAGGCAGAGCTATCATTTAGCAACTAACTGAAAGTGCACAGAACCATAACACATCAAGTTAAGTATATAACATAGTTTGCTATTTGGAAAAATCATAAACCAGGGAGAAAGATTTTATACATTTTCCCAAAGGAAGTTTATTATTTATTTAAATAATTATTCAATATTTATTTAATTTTGCTTTTATTATTATTACTATTTTTTAATTTGACCAGAGAGAGAGAAAGAGAAAGTGAGAGAGCAAGCCACCAGGTTGGGGACTCAAACTGCTGTTGGCCATGTGGGAGTCCAGCAGCTTAACCACCACACCACCTGCCGGCCCCCTATAGTTTGTTATTTTTGTTTGTTTGTTTTTTAGAGAGGTTTTTGCTATAGAGCGGTGAGCGCTTGCCAGACAGAGACAGACAGAGAGCTAGAAAGTAAGAAATCACCCCCCAGGGAGGATGGCCACGCTGCAATCCCTTCTCCTCCATTCTCCTCTTGGGATCTTGGGCACGCACGCACACGCGCCCAGTGTGAGTTTTAAGCCACCGGGTCCGGGACACAAACCGCGGTCGACAACATAGCCATTACACTAACTGCTGGTCCCTAGTTTGTTATTTTTTTGAAGAATTTCTAGAGATAGAAAATCTGATCTCAATTTAGTGCATAATTACGTAATACAGATTTTGAAAGCTTTCTATTCATGAGTGAGTTCAAGCATTATAGGGGGTGTTACTGATTTGCATTAAATCATGGTTTATCAATATGCTTCTGATTTCTTTAGGAAAAAAAACCCTCATAGAAGTAGAGAATTGAAGAATAACTAGTAGAGACTAGGAAGGCTGGTAGTAGGAAATAGAGGAACGTTTATTAACAGAAACAAAATTACAGATAAATAAGAGGAACAATTATAGTGTTATAAAATACAATAAGGAGAATATACTTAACAACCACCTACTGCATATTTCAGATTAAGTAAAAAAAGGAGATTTTGAATGGTTCCAACACAAGGTAATGATAAATGGTTGAAATGATGGACATACTATTACAATTATCTTGATTTAATCATTACACATTGTGATCTTGTGTGGAAAAATCATATTGTACCCTCACAAATGTACAATTGTGTCAATGAAAAAACATTAAAAGAAAAAAAAGCAAAAATATGCTTCTGATTTCTTTCTGGGAATTCTTGTTACCTTTGAGAACATTCATTAAAAAAAGAAACTGATTTACTCAGTTGATTAAATATTAAAGAGTGTTGTATCAGGCAATAATAAATATTTTAAAAGGTAAAAATGAAAGAAGGGTGGATTTTTTTAAATGAAGGATGTTAATTTATTGTACATTTATTGACCATTATTAAACAGAAGTGAAAGCACAGAGCAAACCTTCGTATCTCACCTTGTCTTTGTCTAATTAGAGAATCCCAGAACTGTGAACATCCCTGGACCAGATGAATTTAGTCTCCTGCCTTTATGGAGGTGAAAGCCCAAACACTCCATCCCATTGGCTCATGTTCTTTTTGAACACTTCCAGGGACAGACAAGTTTTCTTGATAAAGGAAACTTGTTCTGAAATCAACAGTAATAACCTCATGAGTCTCCACTAAGGTGAGATATATCCTAATTCTCACAAAAGCCTTACCAGTTATTCATTAGGTTCATTTTATAGAGAAACTGAAGTCACAGAAAGGTAGGATGATTTACCCAAGGTCACACTCCTGACAAGTGGCAGATCCAGGAATCACAGCTAACTTTTCTCTCATTAATCAGCTGTTTTCCCAAATGCCGTGTGTATAATTTACCTACATAAAAGGAAGTGATAAAATAAACAAACATAAGCCTAAGCCTATGTTTCAGGAAAAGAGCTTCCTTAGATAATACAAATGAATGATGAAATAATCTCATTTGCTACATCTTATTAAAAGAATATCCCATGTTGAATTATTCAAAACCCCAAATCTGGCCTTTTTAAAATCAAGTGTCTCTGTGCGGAATAAATTGACTACAAATCCCCAAGACTTCCTTGTCATCAATATTTCAACTCGTAATTTAGCAAACACACACAGACATCGCTCGTAGGGATAAAGTTCTAGGTCTTTCTTTGAGAGTCAGTCAGTTCCGAGACTTCGAGAGTCTATGATGTGTAAGGAGAATAGCTGAATCATATCTAAAAGCGAATCATCCCAATTAAAAATCTATAATAAAAATGAAGACAAGACATTCCATCCGCCTTTTAACCTCAACAGTCCTTTCTCAGCCGGCCAACCTACTTCCCTCCTTGTCTTTTTTAGGAAATAACCCCGCAGGTCGCAGGTAGAAGGGGTCACAGCCTGCCGGGCTGTGCTTGCTCTGGAGCCTGCGGGGCCGGGAAGGCACCGGTGCCCCGGGTCTCTGCTGTCTGCGGGGGAAGCGGGGAGATCGCCGCATGAAGGTGTAAGCAGGGCGGGGAGGTGAGCAGAACCAGAATTCGCGAGGGGCCACCGCAGTCATATGGGGGTCTAGGGAAAAAAAGAGCCTTTCCAAGGTTACAGGGGCGTGAGGAGCGTGAGAAGCAGCGCCTGATGCGCAAACTCGCCCGCCAGCCCCGCGGTAGCACCAGCCGCACCAGCCCCGGCCGCCCGCCCGCCAGGCGGA